GTAGCCCGCCGGCCCATTGAGGAAAGATGGCTACAGTCACTGCAAACGGAGTGCAGCAGGAGAATGGATTCAGCACCACGAACAGCGCCGGCAGGATGAACGGGCTTACCATCGGCCAGAACACCATTCCAATGAAGGACCACGACGCCATCAAGCTTTTCATCGGGCAGATTCCCAGAAACCTGGAAGAAAAAGACCTGAAACCCCTGTTTGAGGAATTCGGAAAGATATATGAACTCACTGTACTGAAAGACAGGTTTACGGGAATGCATAAAGGTTGGTTGCTTTGCTCTCCTTACTTTTGCGATTCCGTGGAGAGATGCAGTGCACACACAAGATACAGAAAGAGTACATACTGAGAGATACAGGAGTAACGGAAATTAAAATATCCCGGCTCAGCAGTGGGGCAGAGGTCGGGAAAGTAGTTGTACTTCACATATATATATATATATATATATATATATATATATATATATATATATATATATATATATATATATATATATATATATATATACCAAAACACGTGGAAACTGGTGTGCTTATTATTACGGCATCCAGCGATCAGCGAGTCCACGTGAATACTACAGCTGAAAACGCCTTTGTGTGTTTACATTGAATCTCGTGTGCTGAGCATCCTAGTGAGGCCGGTGAAGGGGGCGGGACAGTCACGGCCACGAGAAGCTGCTTCTTTGTAGATGCATTTCTTTTTAACTTGTACAAAAGAAAAGACATTTGATGCTTATTGTCAGATAGAAATAAGTGCTTTCTCCTGAGTGGAAAATATAAACCATTATCAAGCAATCAGCCTTAGTGATTAAGGTGGTGCTGGCATGCAGCTCTGACCTTTTAGCAGGCTGATAGGCTGCCTTACTTTTCGGATGTCATTAACTGTGTGAAAATACTATTTACATGGCAGCTGTGTTGTAATGGTGCTGCGTGGGCGGCTTTGCAGTCAGGAAGTACAAGGCGAGATAATAGTGGAGGCTGAGTTCCAGCGCTCATCGTCTTTTGGCTTGATCTGTCCAAATTCTCTCCACACCCTTAAAACCAACCCCCTTATTATCCAAAACGATCGGAGTCTGTCCTGACTCTTTAATTAGTTGACAGGACAGTGATCATCTGGGATCAATCAAAGACCTAATTATATCCTTGTAAAAAAAAAACAATAGAAGAAAAGGGGTAAGGTGTTAAAAAAAAAGCATGAAAGTCATAATAATAAAACATGTGACTTAGACACACATTCTAAAAACATTGTACCATTAGTAATAATGATTCATCACAATAATAATAATAATAGTTTATTATCTGTTACCTGTTTATTACTTTTAGTTTGTTAAATATACATAATGATTTGAAGGAGCCATCAAATTATATATATATATATATATATATATATATATATATATATATATA